TATACCTCTCTCTCTCTAAACATCAGTAAAAAACCCTCACCAATCTTCCCTTTAAACCAGCTCTCCCGATCGAGCAACACCGTCGATTAATATATTCTTTCCCACCGCAATACCTCTATTGGAAAGATAATTTCGAGAGCAACCAAGGAAGTCTCTCTCTCTAGAAGTGGAAGCTAAATCAACCCAAAATTTCATGAAAATACTGCCTCTATCAGGAAAAGAGAGCAGGCTTAATTGGTTAGCCCTTAGATGTTTTACAACAGGGTAGGTGCCCTCTCCCTTGACCTTGAATCACACCTCCTACCAAAGGGGTAGGTGCCCTCTCCCCTGACCTTGAGTCACACCTAGAAAAAAAAATTACCGCCTCTAAGAGGTCATGTCTCTCTCTCTTGGAGACCCATCTCTTCTTTAGAAATCCATTCCCATAACCACCAAAAAGGCTAACTTTTAAAATATAGGTATTATGTCTTCCTTACTCTCTTTTATAGATATTACTTTTTTGTTAATGTATTATGTCTTTTTTACTCTCTTTTATAAATATTACTTTTTTGTTCATAAAAAAATTTCATTTTCTTTTTACACTAGGGGAAAGGGTTTTATGCTTCCCCTACAGCATAGAAGTTTTATCCTCCCCCCACCATCCAGCCGTCCAATTTTGACCAAGAGAGCCACTCACCGTTTGATCTTAGATCCGACGTTTTAAAGTATTTTTTTTAAAATTTTTTTTATACAATTATATGAATATAAAATTTGGTAGGTGCCATCTTCTCATTGGGGCGCACCTGTAAAAAATATTAAAAATAATTTTTTGATAAAATATAATGACCAAAATACCTCTTGAAATTTTTTAAGGGTATTTTGGTCATTTTATTTTATTGAAAATAACATTTTTTTATTTTTTTGCTAGTGCGAGTTTAATAGAAGAATTGACGTCCACAATTTGGTGTCAAAATAGTTTATAGAAAGAAAATTAAAAATAAACTAGTGTAGAAATGTGACATTGTGATTGGGGCAATCTTAGCCCTACATTCAAAATGGACGGTTGGATAAGGGAGAAGATAAAACTTCTATGCCGTAGGGAAAGCATAAAAAGCTTGCTCTTATACTAATACCCTTATTCTTCTAAAAAAAATATGGGTATGGTGATTTGGGTATCTTCAAACCCAATACAAACCACTAGGGCAGAGGGCACTGCCTTTCTGTCTAAAACCAGGGCACCCCTCTTAAAACAATGCATTGCCTTTCTCTCTGCTTCTTCCCCATTTTTCAAGCCATTCAGTCCCTGTAGTTGTTTTTCCAATTCTTCAGGCTCTTCTACTGTCGTATACCGCTCTGTTTTTTTCTCACTGATGTTCCACATTCTTTGGGTCATTCTCCATTCTACCTCAACAATGGCCTCTTCAAAAATGTCCTACTCTTCTTTTACAGAAAAATATTAAATGTGTGGGGGATGCATTCCTACATTTGCGTCCCCCCAAGGCATAAACTACCAATCCAAAGATGGATACAAATGATGGTCCCTCAAAAAACAAAAGGTAAAATCAACCATTTAAATCTTTCCTTCAAAAAATACCATTTTTAGTTTCCAAATTTATTATTATTTACACATGAATGATTTCTAGGGAGGTTAAAAAAAAACAAGATGTAGACCCAAAAAAAGTGCGGTTGGAAGTAACAAAAAAAAATATAGGAACTTATAGTCTCACTAAGGGTATATGGCATTTAATAAAGCAGAATGATGAATCAAGACGCGTATTGTCGATTCCAATTAATTGGGAAAAAGTTTTGACAATAATAATAATACATGAATAATTTCTCTATTAAAGGTTACATATTTCTTAAAAATTACGGTCAAAATACGTTTCGAAAATAGATTATTAAGAGGGAATGCATTTTCACATGTGAGTCCAAGACTCAAAGAAATCATGTCCTACATACCTGGAATCGTGAACAAAACCAGTTTAAAGAAACCAAATGCAAAAAGAAGTCTTATGGAGAGACCAGGAAAGGTGATGAAGGCCTAGCCTTAAGAAAAAGATGAGAATTGTTGGATTGTAGCTGGATCAATTATATATATATATATAACAATGATTTCATGAAAACCATTGTACGGTAATATGATGCAATAACTTTAAAAAACCATCTTATGGCCATTTGTTTGATTTAAATTTTGAAATATACACTCTTTTCATTATAATAAATAATTATAAAAAAATAAAAAATTGAAAACACAACTTAGAAAGTATTTTTTTAGCCCAATTAACATAGGCCGTTCATTTGGCGAGATGCCTAGATCTAGGCCTTAGAAGGATTTTTTCATTTTCAGTTTTTTTGAATGGCTTTATTATCATTAGATGAACAATGTTAAAAAAGAAAAATATGATTTTGAGTTTATAAAGGCTAAGATCTTGAAATTCACAAAATGAACGGTCTAGATTCGTTTTTGGAGGGGACTCATTTTGACCATATCTAAGGTTCAAATTGAATTTTTTCTTTTTTTGGAGAACTGATTATTGAGATGAAGAGAGTGTGTGAGCAAAATTTGAGGTCATACAAATACCACAAACATAATTTTCTAAAAGTGTCGTTGAATTATACTACAATACAACTGTTGCATTGGATCATTACTTTTATATATATATATATATAAAGAGAGAGGTGGGTAATTTAGGAGATTGTACGCAAGAATTAGGCCACAACTAATTCTTGCCAGTGAGTGTCAAATCGTACAGCCTAAAGTATGCTATGAAAAATTATCTAAGAATTTTGAGCTAAATCAATTACAAACCCTCAGCCCTCTTATTTCAAATCTAACCATCATAGATGACTATGATTTTCTTATCCTTATACAAAAAGTAAATGGTTTTATTTCATATATTTCTTTTTCTTATGAGAGAGCCGAGATTGGGAACATGGTTCTTATCCTTCACTTCAAAAATAAAATAAAATAAAATGAATAAAATTCAAAAAACCCCAAGGGTAAAGAGACATGGCAAAATTTTGGAGAGAGACATGGCCAAATTTGAGCCACAAGCTCTCTCCCCTACTTACATGACGAACCTACCCGGTACCTCGCAGCACGTGGGATGGTGTTTCTTAATTTTTATATTTTATTTTGTTTGACTGTAGAATACAATTTCTTAAAATTCTTTGTTATTGTTTTAGTTGTGGACCCGTTTCTATGCGGCCCAGCCTGCATATGTAGAAATGCGGGCCTCTTAATAAATCTATTTTTAATATGGATTTTTTTTTTTTGAACTCAAATTTTTTAGATGAATTTTAAGACTTAATTTTTAAGGATAGGTAATCTCTAACATGGAGATCATGAATATGAATAAATAAATAAATTTTAAACATTAAAAATAATAATTCTAGTAAGAAAACATTTTGACCGTTGGTATCCATATTGTTTTAGATGGAACACCTACTTGCATCCATCTTCAAGATGGATGCTTTACACTTTTTAGACCGCATATGAAGAAATGTGGTCCAGTTATTATTAGTTACTAATTAGAATGTATGATTCCTTTTTCAAAATTATTATACTAAAAGTGTTTGCTGAGTCGACCAACTCACCCTTTCTTGTACCGTCACCTTTTGCAATATATATCAAAGAAGTATTTTCAATTCAAAATTTTAGAGTTCGATAATCTCAACCATGATAATAATTTAAATTTAGAAATTTCCTTTTTTTTTAAATATAGACCTCATTTTTTGAATTCCTTTTAGTACTGTCAATTTAAGGTATGGTTTCTATAAGGTTGCAACCTTAAACAATCCAATTAAGGTGCACCTCCAAATTTTATCATAACATGTAATTTTGGTGTAAGAAATTATTAGGGATTATATAAAATCTATTTTCATGTCTACTTATAAAATTTTAAACTCCAAAATTGGTTAAAATCAAGTAGATATATAAACATATAAAAATCTTTAAAATGGACGATCTAGATAACGTGTAGCAAAATGCACTATTTTTGGGACTCAAAATCTTTTTTTGTTCATATTCATACATCTCTATGTTGAGATGATCAACAAAAAAGTCTTTCAACATTAAAACAACTTTCTACGATGGATTTTTGAGGTGGATCCGTATTTCTACATTTTAAGGTTGCAACCTTATATAAACTTTTTTTAAAAATTTTTAGTGGATGTACCATTTTTTATTTAGAGGTGAGAGATAAGGGGAAAAACCGTAAATGGTGAGTTGGCTGAGTCACCAAAACCGTATCCATTATTATATTGCAAATTATAATTGTTATGCAGTATAATAAGATGCATAAATTTATGTAATAATGATATTTATACTTTGTAAAGTGAACTCATTAATAATAAGAATAATGATCTTGAAGGACCCTCCCCATCCATGTGTAGGATCCCAAATGATCACTATTAAAGTTGACACGGATCTCTCAAAAAATTATCATATGGGTGTAGGACTTGATTTTTTTATAAATCCATACCAACTTTAATGGTGACCTTTTGAAATCCTACACACATGAATGAAGAAGTGTCCTATAAGATCATTACTCAAACAATAATAGACTATAAGCTATAAGTAAGTCAAAGTCACGGCATTGGGGGATTCGGAATAAGACCGAGAATCGGGATGCAACGATAGAGAATCGGGATGCAACGATATGGCAATTTATGGTATAGAGGAATTGATCCATGGACCTATTGACAATAGATGCGTGGTAAAAATCAAAAGGCGCCGGCTCCCTTCTAACTGAAAGGGTGGATAATCATTAGGCATACCCTTTTGGATTAAAGCATTCAAAATAACAAAAGGATTTGGTTGCCTGATAGATATTAGACTAAGTCCTTTCATTCTTTCTCTAGCCGCAAATTATGTGAACTCCAGTACTTCGTACTTTTGTAATTGTACTCATTCCAATTTAAAACTCAACCAGGACAAGAGAAAAGCCATCCACATTTCTGATTTTTGAGGAAAGAATTCGGCCATCTAATTTCTGCATCTTTCGGCAATGAAAGAGGTCTGATATCCAAAGTTTTAAGTCCATCTATAGACAATGAACAATATAAATTTTTCCAACAAATGCAGGAAATCTATACAAACATCAGTAAAAGGTCGTATTAGTGTTGAAAAAAATCAAATGTGCTATGAAAAAATGAGCTCTACCCATTTTTTTGGCACTATTTTTTCACCTTTGCCAAATTTTTACATGTTCACGTGGAGGCAGAAATGACTACAAAGGGCAAGTAGTGGAGCCCATCCTGAATCTTGCTTATGGCCATGGTTCTGTCATTTCGAAGGTGGGTAGAAATGGCATCTGCTTTCTTGTGAATTGAGGCATGTTCTGGAAGAGCTTCTGGGCCATCAGCTGATGCACTTTTAATTGCCTCTTGGAAGGCCCCAACAACATCTGATATTCCTGCAAACATGTGCACACACACACACCAAAAAAAAAGAAGAGAGAAATTATGAAGTCTCCATATCCATTTGATCACCACCAAATGAAAGTACCGAACAGTGAAGTGGAACTACCATTACAACAAACATTTCAAAACGGGCATCACAGTACACTGGCTGAGCCATTATATTGACAATTACAACATGCATCACAACTATTTCTCTACAATATCACCCACTATTTAGGCCCCATTTGGATGTGTCTCTGTAGCTGCAGCCCGCAGCATTTAAACCTCCCACCAGAATGGGTTGGCATGCCACTATTCACATCCACAACTTCAGGATTAGAACACTGCGTATTTAAAAGTGCCACTCTACTCCCTGTTTTTGCCTTGGGATAGACAAAAATAGAACAATAAACCACTTTTGTCTATGACCATTACTGAATGCCTATTTCTGGATTGCCGAGAAAGGCAGGTAAAGATAGGCTTGAATATTGTCAGCAGGAAGTCCAACGGCACCTTATCTGCTATAACAGCCAAAGCCAAATGTCTTTATCGCTATTAACAGCAAAAGTCATGTTTCTTTAAAACATTGACCACTACTACTAGTCTACTTCTATTAGTAGTACTGCGACAAACCCCCAAGAACTGGGGTGTGGCATTGATTCGACAAGATATATGCCTAAGATCCAAACCTTCCAAGAGTCCTTATGTCATGCATTACGAGCAGCTCGCCTAAGTCTATATTGAAAAAGATCAAGTAAAACATCTAGCATGTCCTTATTTATTTCAAAATGACTTACCAGAAACACATAACAATCTCAGATAATAGAGAGTATATGGCGTAGAAGCAGTATAACCCAAAGATGTGGGAAGCTTGGATAGGGAGTGGTGAACCCCTCAGGAATCTCGCTAATGTCGATACCCCGACTAAAAGGGATCTTCATCCCTATGTAACGGGCATCGCAACCTATTGAAAATGGGGTTCAGATCCTGGTTTTAAGGGTTTCAATGCCAAGGAGAGTTCCAAGAGTTTCTAAATTTTGAACGGTTCTTGATATTGTGTTGATTATTTGCTTTCTGATGATTTTCTAGCTAATAAGCACCCATGAAAATTTTTGTTTTCCTTTTTCATGGTCGTGGTTTGCAAGAGTGGTTGAAAACTTGACAAACTGCTTGGAATTGCTAAGTCTGCTCAGACCCAGGAGTCCCCAGTCCTAGATGGTCATGAGCCAGGGAATTACCTAGGTTGTCTACAGTAGGGTGGTCCTCACTATATTGAATCATTGCCGAGTTCACTATAGGTAATCGGCCAGAGTAACTAAGTTTGATTCTTATCATGGCCCTACAATATCATTTTTTCCAAATTTGTATGGAACTTTCATTCTATGGAATTTTCATTGCATGTATGTAGATAATGCTAAAAAGTGGATTATACATTTTCAATTGTTTAAATCACTTTAAAACCAAAATAGAATGATCTCTATTTGTGTGTGTGTTTATACATATACAATACAGTAAATATATCAAGCCGCCCCGAGGTGCTCCCAAGTTAGGAAGCTTCAGCACTGTGTAGATCCCAGACTCAGGCTCCAGCTCCCAACAACCATCGTCTGCTAATATACGTTTATACTAACAAACGTAATGAATGGGGAGCAGACCATAATCCCATGGACTATGGTAAATGGTAATTCAAGGCTACATCCATCTTTAATGTTCACATCAACAGATGGTCTACAGTGACACCCATCCAGGCACAGTTAATCTCCAACCATCCAACAGCAGAACAGACAGTGTCTGTAGCTTAGAGTACCATAAACCAAAGTTCATTCAACAACTTTCCCTAATGAATTTACCTGTAATAAAACTGTTGGAAACGGCTTCTACATCTCCAGTCATAGACTGAGCCCTCAATCTAATGATCTTTGCTTTAGATACTGAGTCATCTGGCCACTCTATCTTCAAGCTTTCCTCCTCTTCTATTTCATCATCACGTGATTTTGCTGAACTTGAGAGGACTGATTTCCCAAGCATCAAAAGCTGAGATACCCCAAAGCAACAAAGTTCAGAAAGCCTCTGCAAAAGAGAGAAAAAGTAAAGGGATGGAATGGGGCAATCTCATTTTTTGGTGAAGTACACGATTGTCCAATAGACTTCAGTATATTGTATAAAAGGTTACATCAGTGGTTCAAGATTAAATTAAACAGGACCCACAGGGACATTCATATGGCCCATTTGATATTTGACCATTCTTTAGTGGGAATGGACAGTAGATGCAGCCTGGAAGTACCATACGTTAGACGCTGTAAAAGCTGAGGTATATAATTTGCCTTCAAATTCTATGAGATTTAGATTTTAAAGTCTTCAAATTGAAAACACTGACTTACATGGATTCCCTCAGAATGGATGGATTCAAGCCTGTCAGAAGTTCGTTGAAGTATTTCATTTGCAGCAAGTCCACCAAGTGCTGCCGCAAACCTGCAGAAGAGATCAATGCAAGTGAGGAACTCAACCAGTAGCACAAAAGATTTGCATCATAGTAACCCCCCCCCCCGCTCTCACTCTGTATCTCTCTCTCAAGCAACTCACTTTTTTTTTCAATAGCTAGTCCAGAAATAACTGAAAAAGGGTAGAGTGCTTATGAAATCCAATATCTAAAGTGATGCACTTCACACTCTCGCAAGCAACTCACTTTTTTTTTCCAATAGCTAGCCCAGAAATAACTGCAAAAAGGTAGGGTGCTTATGAAATCCAATATCTAAAGTGATGCACTTCACAAATTTCTTGAAATTTCGCAGATGAAACAAACAAAAATCAGGTAAATAGACTAGAATGAACTTGTTGGAAATGAAAGACAGTAAAAGAATGACTCAAGGACAAGGAGACTGAAGTACACCAACAGTGCCCTAGAATGAATCACTTTACATGGAACTGGATAGGAAGTGGTGCAGCACAACAAAAGAGATATTATTCTGTGTGGACCTGAGATTACTCCGATACTGCAGCCAATGGTTTGTGTGTTTTTTTTTTCAATAATGAAACCCACTCATTATTTTTCTTATAAATATATGAGAAATTTCACAGCGAAAATGGGACACAAAAATATGTACTCCTGCCAACACAAACTGATCAACCCCTTCTGAGATCCCCACTATATTCTGGGCATCTTAGTCATATGTTAATAAAGTTCAAGAACTCTGTTATCCCTACCTCAGAGATACGTTTATTGAAGATACAGTTCTCTTAGAGAAGAGGGGATCATGAGGCAGAAAGTTGTTTCTTTACCTTTAAGGGACAACACTCTTAACTTCCACATTTTGTCTGCTTCAAGTCTAACACCATAACTTCTGGAGGTTACATTTTAGTGACCACTTGGCAAATGGCGAAAGAACTTAAGTTTAATTCCAGTGAGAGCCAGAGGGTTTATGGTCCTCGGAATATGTATCAGCTTTGGTTTCAGAAAGTTATCCATAAGCTCCAGGAGTCCTCAGGGCCCCCTCTGCTAGATTTCTTTTATCACCTCCTCTTGACCTAGCTAGCAAACAACTCAACTCAACAATATCGTCATCCCCTTCGTTCCTTCTAGAAAAGGGAACTGCACCACTCTAGCTCACCCGTTGAAACAGTCACCAACACAATCCTCATAACAGGTATGCAAATTACTTTAAGTTATGCAGAATATTCACAATCTGCCAAAATAACAAGCACAAACTAGATGATATGCAACAGAACACATCTCCAAGTTACCAAGCGTACATTTTTTATAATACAATACATTTCCATGTTACTTATCCAAAATAAAAGAATACATCTCCAATAACGGGTATCTAATTTATCTTAATTACTTAAATTACCTGTCAAAATGAAAAGCACAGACAAGATTTTAACCAACTAATTACATCTCCAATAACTTTCCTGGAGATGCAGGTTGCAATATTCCCTTAAGTATGAATAGTTTTGAATGATTAAGGATGACAGGTAACAAAATAGTTGTCCACACCTTGGGAATTTCCTCATGACTAATACCATACAAAAATAGTAAGACAATCAACAACCTAAACGCCAGAACCAAGATGCATTCAAGAACATGTTATCTAAACCAAATCCCAAAGAACTAGTTATCTTCTACAGATAGTTTCAGAATTTAAATATCCCAGTGAAGATATATGGAAAAAGGATTATAAGTGTTGAAGTTTTTACCCTGCAGCCATCTCTGCAGCTTTGCTCACACTAGCAGTGCAAAGACTTTGCATCTCATTGCCGCCACCCACTTCTACGGTGTCAACATACTTGCCTTTATCATGATCCAAGCCATTTCCATCACTTTCACTACTCAAAGTTAAAGTCTGTTGTACTTGTTTAAGATTTCCATCAAAAGAGGACTTCTGCTCAGATGATAACTTGGCTTTTCTACGGTTGAATAATAATGCATGATGGTTTGACAAAGCTTCCAGTTCCTGAGGCGCATCAAGAGTTCAAGAATTAGCTTCTGGAAATAATTTATAACTCATGTAGGTGCATTCAAGAAAAAGAATCACCTCAAGCTGCTCTGGACCACCATAAATGTAAAAACATCGGTCAAATGTAACCTCTTCAGCGAACTCCTCTTCTTCAACTTTTTCCTCAGCTTCCTTTGGATCCTTCTCGACTTCAAAACCAGTCTCTGTAATCAGTAGGTCCATAGTTTCCTTCCCAACATATTCAAGCACTTGGATTCCTTTAGCTGTCAATGCCTTTCCAGTCTGAAATGCAGAACCAGGAATAAGTAACCCTGATCCAAGAAACCAAGCAAAGACAACAGGATACATGTACATGTCTTTTTTTCTTTTTGATTGAAAGGAATACAAGAGTATCCATCACGATGTTCTCAGAAACACATATGCATGACATTCACCTAAAAATGAAAGTAAACATACGGAGGCAGGAAAGACCACAATGTACCTCCACTAGAGATGGAGCAATGGAGCCAGCTTTTCCAGGCAGACCACCTTTTTGGATGGAATCAGCAAGGTTTGCTGCAGAATTCTCAAGCCTGAAAAGAGATCACAGAGTGTATCATGATTACAACGATTGAAATCGATACGAGAAGGCAAACATATGAATAACATCAGATGTAATATTTAAAAGCACGTAACTTCAAATAAATGGTTGTCTTGGTCACAAAAAGATCTTGTACAACTCAGGTGGGATCGGAGACCAGTCAAAGTAACCAAGATAACCAGAAAAATGTCAAGTATGCCACAAGGAAATGACCAGATCTAAGCCAAATTTGGCCCCAAATCACATATTGGCTTTCTTTTAATTTTTCCTCATTTGTATACTTTTGTCTTATTTTCAAGTATTTTTCTATTATTTTAGCTCTTTAAGTGGATGAGACATGTTGAGTTTGAGCACAAATCCGAGTCTGAGTCTCCAGGTGTAAAAGCTTGTTATGTGATGCTAAGAGAATTTCTAAGATCCCACACCATTTCTTTTCTCTTTATTTTGGAAAGAAGCCCACACCAATTCATGAGCCAAGTTAAGGAGTTTTGGCGTACCCAAGTGGAGGTACCTAATCCAAGAATGATATATTATAATGCTTACATTATCAAAGGCAATCCACTACCTCATATAGGCAAGACCTTCAGGAATGGCAACCCAACTCCACCTTAATTAGAGTCATTTCCATGGTGAATACCAATATCTATGGTTATGTCTTTTGTATTTATGTCAGCAAGGATTTATTTGTCCTTTCTCATATTTAGGGGCAGTTTGCTACATCTTTGTAATTTATTATTATAAAAGGGATGAGAGGGGCGTGTGAGCTGATAAGCCAAGGCTGCCTCTCTCCTTTCTCCTTCCCACATGACACTCTCTCTTCTTTCTCTAAGCCTCTTTCTTTATCTAAACCTTCATCTTTATCCTTTTCCATTTTTTTTTCCTTCTTGTATTTTTAACTTGGTATTAGAGTAGGAACTTCGGCATGGAATCTTAAAAACCTAATAATGCGATCTGACCCTACAAAGTTCTTCATCAACCTTACAGTCAATAATCCTAAATCTGAAAAGCAGGTAGGAAATGTAAAACCCTGATTTCACAGCTGCTTCCTATCCTTCTTCAGGCTCATGGTACAAGATTAGAAAGCCTAGATCTGGTGGGGAGGGTCCAAATTTTTCAAGCCTGAAACCCTTGATCTGGTTGGGAGGTTTTGATAGTTTCAAAACCTGTTGTTGGACCCCTTAAACAAGTATTGTCTTTGAGTTGTGAGAATCATTCATTATTGAGTCTCTTGTGTGGATGGTTTCGGATTCCTGTGGGAAGTGAATTTCAGCAGCTGGTTGTGCCGATCAATGTGTTCATTTAGTGTGTACAAGCTTTGTTGTGATGACAAGTCTAATATTAGTGATTCGGACCACTCTTCTACCATTTCTAGCATCTCGATGTAACCTCTCATTTGGGCATCCACGGAAATCAGTCTGGACTGTAGATTACACCTGTTAAACATGATGAACGAACTATTTAGGGTGGTCATTTTATACTAAAATGTTCATTAATGAAAAAGGGAAATTGGGATGCATCAATGGCGAGATTACTGAACCTGAATAATTAGATTCCTCACATAAGAAGTGGGAAACTAAAAATTTGACTGTAACGTTTTCTTTTCATTCATTGAAAGTTTTGTTTCCTAAGTTTTTTATTTCAGCTAGAGTATCATAGTTTCTAATGTGACATCTGTGAACAGTCAAAACATTGGAGAAACTCTTATTTACCTAGTAATAATAAAAGCATCACTCCTTTTGCTTTTGTTTATTCAGATATGTGGGCAACCTCTCTGGTTAGATATACTTTTAACTATCGATATTTTGTTTCTATTGTGGATGAGTACGCCCCATATACCTAGATCTAGCTTATGAGTATCAAAGATGAGTTCCTAATATCTCCAAGGTCTTTCATAAGATGATCCATACTCAATTTGAAACTAATAGGTGCTCAGATCTGACCAAGGTGGGGAATACTTTAATGGCGAGTTGTTGTCTTATTTGGAAGAATATGGAATAGAGCACTAAAATTCTTGTTCATACACACCAGAACAAAATGGTGTGGCTGAAAGAAAGAATATACATCTTTTGGAGGTTGGTTGTGCTCTTCTCTTGGGAATGAATGTACCTAAGAAATTCTAGTCCAAAGTTGCGATGATTGCATCTTATCCCATCAATCATATGCCGCCTCATGTTCTAGACTACAAATCTCCCTATAAACTTTCCTGCGTTGATCGTCTACTATTTAGTGTTCGCTTAAAGTCTTTGGTTGTGTTTTCGTTGCTCTGTCCTTGGTCCGTACTATACAAAGTTGGATCCAAAATCTGTAAAATGTAGTTTTCTTGATTATTTGTCCTCCCAAAAGGGTTACAAATGTTATGATCTAGTCTTTTACAGAAGTTTGTTTCTATGGAGATGATCAAGAATGGAACTTGAGAACCGGTAGAACCTCCTAAAGAGAAGAAGCTGATTGGTTGCAAATGGGTTTATACTATAAAGCACAAGGCTGATGGTAAAAGTTGATTGATACAAGGCACGATCAGTTGCTAAGGGGTTCACTCAAACATATGGAATAGACTACCACGCAACATTTGATCTTGGGGCTAAGATGAACTCCATTAAGGTCATTTTGCCTCTGGCAGCTTATTTGGAGCTGACATTGCACCAATTGGATGTTAAGAATGCATTTCTTCATGACGAACTACAAGAAGTGTACATGGTACCTCCACCTAGGCTTTGGGATCCTGGATATGAAAGAAAACTTTACGGATTAAGAAAGGTCATCTATGGTCGAAAGCAGTCTCAGCAAGCTTAATTTGAGAGGCTCAACAGGGTATTGTTCAAAGAAAAAGGTAAAAATTAAACTCATGTTGACCATACCTTATTTGTCAAACACACCAAGACCAGTACCATTGCCTTGATTGTACATGTGGATGATATTGTTGTAATAGCCTAATAGGTAATCGTCCCAAGGAAATTAGCAACTCGAAGACTTTTTTGGTGAGGGAAGTTTTAAATTTAAAGATCCGGGTCCACTAAAGTGTTTTCTTAGGGTAGAAATAGCCAGGTCTAAGAGAATAATGTTTATCCCTCAAATGAAGTATGTGTTGGATCTCCTTTAGGAAACACAAAAGCTTGGGACTAAACCATAGTTGTTGAAGGCGGGAGTGGGATCAGTTTGGGATCAGTTTAGGTTTATAGGAGCGGGATCCAATGTCAATGGGTTTGATGTTTTGACAAGCAAGAATCTAAGCTCCACTATACAAAAAAATGAGATTGTAAGTAGAGCTAGTACGAGTTCCCTTGGTTAAGGAATCGAGGTTTAACTATTTCATGTAACGGGGTTCCTCCTATTCTAATATCGAGATTCTTAAAGTATAGGAATCAAGGTCCTAAGTAGATTGGCCCCAAGGTCCGCAAGTGCCATTTACTGGGGATCCCTTATCAAGTGCCCCCCGCCCTTAACAAAGGATTTTTTTATTTTTGTGTGAATACCAACAGATTAATTATGTAGGTCTATAAGTCGGTCTTTCTTATGACCACTACATCTTCAGGCCATGACATACGTTTGGCATGCACCATTCCCTCCGAGTCCTCGGCAACCTAGAATCCTACCACTCAAAAGTCATCTTCTTCGAATGTAGTCTCCTCTGCTTCCATTGTTTCTCAAAAGCTAGCTCTCCGAAGGGGCAAGAGGACAAGATGAACTACTCTCTCTCTCTCTCTGACTGATGTAAAAGAAGCTTTTTAAAGCTTGAAATGAAAGCATATATATTCTCATATCACAATTGTAATCAAATTTAAGACTCTAAACAATAGGACATCAAAGATTTTAAGTAAAATATATATTCTTACAACTAAGAGGGATGTCTTACACAATAGGACTTAATAAAATAATGGGTCACTCTAGACTATGCCTAGTTCAAATTAAGTATCTAAAATAATAGAACTTCGTGCAATACGAAAAAGGGACTAGTCTTTAACATCATGGAACTTGTGATTCCTAAATAAGGAGAACTTCGGACAATGGCAATCTCTAACCTGGCATCATTCGTTAATAAAAGCAGAACCCGGGGTTAGAGATGACATCTAAAATGACCCCGTAGTCTACATTATTTACCTTTGTTAAATTTTATAAACTCTCTGGTGAATCTACACTCTCTTACACTGTGCTCCAGTGCATACTTAGAAATCCTCATACACCTATTAAAATATTTAAGCCCTGGGGCATAAGATTTACAGAATTAGCCTTTCATCTTATCTCCATTATTGACATAAATACCCCTTTTCACTTCTCAATATCATGAGGACTGGAGCAATGTCAAAATTCGTTCCCAAAGAAATGATATGCTACTTGCCGGAAGGGTAAAGCAGAAACACAAGGCCTTTCCTTCAAGTCACTCCTAACGGAAGCACTATTTATTTCCAGAATGTTGCACTAAAATAAGGTACAATGTTGCACACATTCTAGACTGGGTGAACACTCCAGAACCCACTCAAGAATGAGATGATCATATGGGGTTGCGTGTTGAATACAAATTTGACACGTAGACCACTACCACTGTAACTACCAGACATGCTCAGTGCTTTTAAATAGACCTATGTAAACACTCGAAAGAAGATGGCCAAGAAGGGAGCAAACAAGAGAGCAAAAAGGGAGAAGGAGAGAGCAGAGGAAAGTAATTGATGGTAGAATAAAATAAAAGCATTGTACATGGATATACCCTGTCAGAGTATTGTTTGAACTTGTCTTGAGTTGCTTTATGCATTCATTACCGAATTCAACTTAAGCTCACCCCAAACAAGAGGTCAATGTCCTTGTATTGTGATAACAAGTTAGCCATCGGTGTAATTCACAATCCGGTCCAGTATGACAAAACCAAGCACATGAGAAGTAGATTGACATTTTATTCAAGAAAGAGTTACTACAAGAGAAATTTGCCTTCCATATGGTAAAACAGAAGACAAAATATAAAATATTCTTACCAAGGCTGTTGGGAAACCTCGACTACAA